CGAAATTGAAGAAACGCGGGAGACGCAGGGAATAAGAGATCGGTAACGTGCTTAACGCAAAGAACTAAGCGGCAAAGAAGAAAGGGCACAAAATTATACGAAACATCGTCGAATGCCGAATTTTCTCATGGAAAATTCTAGACGAAGTCAACGTTAATCGTTAAATGGGTATATCGCTATGAAACACTAATGGCAGCCATGATTAAATGGGACGAAATTGGAGAAACGCAGGAGTCGCAGGGAATAAGAGATTGGTAACGTGCTCATCGAATGCGCAATTTTTTCGTCGAAGATTCAGGGCCAAGTCAACGTTAATCGTTAAACAGGTAAACCACGATGAAGCACTAATGGCAGCCATGATTAAATGGCACGAAATTGAAGAAACGCGGGAGTCGTAAGGAATAAGAGATCGGTAACGTGCTTAACGCAAAGAACTAACCTACGAAGAAGAAACGGCACAAAATTATACGAAACATCGTCGAATACGGAATTTTCTCATGGAAAATTCAATACAAAGTCAGCGTTCACCGTTAAATCGGTATATCGCGGTAGAAGATTAACAGCAGCGACGATTAAATGAGTCGAAATTGAAGAAACGCAGGAATCGCAGGGAATAGGAGATCGGTAACGTGTTGAACGCGAAAAATTAATCGACGAAGAAGAAACGGCACAAAATTATACGAAACATCGTCGAATGCGGAATTTTCTCATGGAAAATTCTAGACGAAGTCAACGTTAATCGTTAAATAGGTATATCGCTATGAAACACTAATGGCAGCCATGATTAAATGGGACGAAATTGGAGAAACGCAGGAGTCGCAGGGAATAAGAGATCGGTAACGTGCTCATCGAATGCGCAATTTTTTCGTCGAAGATTCAGGACCAAGTCAGCGTTAATCGTTACATAGATATATCGCGACGAAATACTAATGGCAGCCATAATTAAATTGGGACGAAATTGAAGAGACGTAAGAGTCGCAGGGAATAGGAGATCGGTAACGTACTTGACGAAAAAGAAACGACGCGAGATTATACGAAACATCGTCGAATACGGAATTTTCTCATGGAAAATTCAATACAAAGTCAGCGTTCACCGTTAAATCGGTATATCGCGATAGAAGATTAACAGCAGCGACGATTAAATGAGTCGAAATCGAAGAAACGCAGGAGTCGCAGGGAATAGGAGATCGGTAACGTGTTGAACGCGAAGAATTAACCGGCAAAGAAGAAACGACGGGAGATTATACGAAACATCATCGAATGCGGAATTTTCTCATGGAAAATTCAAGACGAAGTCAGCGGTCACCGTTAAATCGGTATATCGCGATAAAAGGCTAACAGCAGCGACGATTAAGTGGGACGAAATTGAAGGAACGCCTGCGTCGCTGGGGGATAAGGGATCGGCATGCATCCTGTATTATTTTCGGCGTCGCGAGGAACCGGCAGCCATTGTGTTCTCGCTGCGCCGCTTCCTCCTGTCGTGCAAAGTTAATTTTCATTGCGAAAGCAGGCGACGGACTGTCAGGAAAATTGCATGGAAACACGACGGCGAGGAAACGCACGGCAGAAGTCACGAAGCCGCGTGCACGCCGCTCGTGGGAATTAAGTTACCGACCCGCGTGTCCTTCGCGCTTAATTATACCGGCGCACCGACGCGACCCGTAGCCGGATAAGAGCGTGTTTTATCGTTAAATAAAAAGGGAAGGAAGCGTCGTATCGACACAATGAACGGACCTTGGAGGTTTCCGTGACGGGATTCCAGCTTTTCCGCAGTTTCATGGAAACGACGCGCCGAGCTTCTCGTGTCTTACCATCCGCTCTTTAAATCCTGCATACTCGCGTCCTTTCCATCCGTTTTATATCTCCTATATTTCTCCAATACTTCCGTCCCGATATATAATACCTTCTCGTTCGTCCATTCGAACTTGAAGCGAATTTCAATCTCGCGAGAACGAAGTATAATCGAAGGAAATAAACGCGTAGGGGATAATTAACGTTAAATACTTTTCCAGTCCGCGATCTCTCGTAATCGATAAATAAACTCGGCCATTTTGTTGGCCGATCGCTTGGGAATATATTAAGTACGAATCTAGAATCTAGAATTTTTCATCGAAAATTAAATTAAATAGGACTTATTTTTACGTTAGAGAGAGTGACGCGATGTGTAATTATTCATTTCGGCAACGACGTCAAAAATGCCAACGTAGTTGACACGTATACCGCAGGCTGACGAGCGAACGTTTCCGGTACACCGACTCCATTAATTCGCTTAATGGGTTAATCGTAAAACGTAACCGTAATAGTCGAAACGAGAAATCCCGTTTAATTGCAAAAGTGTATTTAATTACAAAAGATTCGACTAGCACGCTCTATTTGCCCTGAGAGTCAGTTGGCCAGAGCGCGAGAGGTTAGGTCGTAGAAACATCTCGGCACGGTCACGTTTCACGGGAGAAACGACAAAGCGCGGTCGGTGAACGAAGACGCGACGCGAGGGCGCGAGTTCCAGCTAAGTCGATTTCGAGAATGTCGAGAAAGCCGCGGGAGATTGTTGGCCGGAAAGAGGGACTCCCTCAAAGGGACTGTCGAGGAAGTCTCTACTGTAAACAGACCGCGCGCATCGGCTTCGAAAAACTAGGGGCCAACGATGCACGTGTTGCGCGTTAATACGGCCTAACTACCACACAACAGGTCCATATAGTCGTTTCCGTGTGTCGTGCTTTCGAATTATTTCCCAACCCTTCTACGACGCCGAAGACGCACGCGGCACACCTGCCGCGAGTCTTCTAACCTTAACGATCTCGTAGATTTTTAACGCCGCGCATGGGAACACGCCGAGGATTATCGTCTGTTTACGTACGCGTCGAGTCTCGTTTCGGTTTCGAGAACCCTTCGCGTGTCGCGCACCCCCCGCCCCGCGCCACAGCGCCACTGCGCAGCCGCGAGTCTACGACGCGGCCGAATATATCTCGGACTGTACGATACAGCGATATTACGGTGACTCGGTGTAGCGAACGCGCGACACGACGTTTCCTAGCCGAGAGCATCGATTGTAGCTTCCTTCGCTATACTCGATTTCCGTGGGGCGTCCGCGAAAAACGTTCGATCGGCGAGGAACAAAAGCTTAAAAGATCTCGCTGCACCGCGGCAGGGAAAACATGTTTATACAGGCAGCGGTAGATTTCCAACAGGTGGTTCTCGGAATCCGTTTCCCAGCGACACCAGACTCTTTTCGGCACGGATTTTCTGCCGCGCCGAGTCGATCGAAGAAATTAGCGAAGCGAGCAACTTCCGCGCGGGTCGCGTCCGCGATGAAGAAACAACGAGACCTTGGGCAAATATTATCTCAAGTTTTTTTACGCCGGAGAAATCGGAAGGGAATCGTCCGCGAGTTTCACCACGGCTTCCGCGTATGCTTTCGAAAACACTTTTTTTTTCCTCTCCTCTCTTTTTACTCTCCATGCACCAAATGCACGTCGACGATGCTCCTTGCCGTTTACGAGAGGCAACGACGCTTACTTTCCACGATAGAAACGCGACGGTGGCGGCGGCGGCGGCGGTGGCGGCGCTGGCGATCTACATGGGCGAAACCGATTCGACGAAGGAAGAGAGGCGCGCGCTCGTGAAAGTAGAAAAAAGAGGCTCCCGAGGGGGACTCGCTGTTCGTCACGCGGCCCGTCGCGCTTCTGTCTCGTTACGTATTTACGCGTCAATTTAGTCCTTTCGCGAGGAAAAGCGGCTACGGTGACTCACCGCCTAGACTCGTTCGCCGTGCACCGAGTCACTCCACAGGCTCGATCGGTGCCCTAAAATCGACTCGCGATTGCTCAAGGAATTCTTTCTCTAAAAGGAAACGAAATAAACTTTCGTCCCTGTACATCATAATTTTGCAACGTCTCGATCGAATCGCGTCGAATGATTGGTACGACGAAACGTATTCCCCCGGCCTTTATCGTCGTTTTATCCACGGACGCGTAGAAAGGAAAGGACGTTCGAAAATGTATTAGGAAAGAAGAGAAATTAGACAAGATGGCGTTGGCAGTTGAGGTTAAGGAGGCTGATCAATCCACGTCACGAATCCGAAGGTCACGCATATGAATTCCAATGTCCATACCTTTTCGTATCGATGCCTTTTCGTCCTCCTACGTTATGAAATTGCAACGTCCCGTTTCCATTAATGTTTCCACGCAACGAGACGCAATACCACCGCCCAATGTTTTCATTCCATTTCCGCGAACCATCGCGAATTCTACTCTCGTGACGATCGAACGTGGCGCTAGATCGCGCGCGCGAATATCGCCTCGGGAGGGGTTATAGGTAATGCCGGAGTGCCTCGACAGGGGGCCCTGACCCGATTGCAGAAAATGTCAACACTCTCGTTACGTGGCGGCACTATCACCGGCCGCGAAGCATACGCGCGCACGAAAACGCTCGGAACGGCTCGGCGCGGAGCGGAGCGTGGAGCGGAGCGCGAAACGGGGGGCGAAGAACGGTGGGTGTATGGGTGCGTGAGCGCGTGTGCACACACGTAAGCTCGGTACGCTTTGGTGTCTTTAAAGTGGCCATCTTGACTTCACTTTCAAACGCTGCTTGCTATCGGGCTGGAGAGAACGAACGTGCGAGAGAGAGACAGAGGAAGAGAGAGATGGAAGGACATCGAGGAACGTGGGACGAAGACGGAACAGCGGTGTACGCGCGCTGTGGCACCGTGTGGCAATACGAGGAAGCCGATTACCCAACGATCCAGGATCCCTCCGTACCAAACACTGGTTACACGCGATTCCGCTTAACACTCGCGTCTTACGTGCTGTTTGCCGTTCTATTTCGCGTCTATCTTCTTTCTTTAGTCGCCTTTACGGGCCACCATTAAATACAGGGTTGAGGTGGCCCTCTGTGGTCACTGATCAAAAGTTCCTCTAGCGGTGGTGGGGAGGCTGACAATGGGGACAGTCGAACCGAACCTTACAGGGGGCGCGATTAGTGGAGAAAATTCTAGAACGATCGTGCAATGACCGATGAAGAATAACGCAGCTGAGAATTACGTTTCCCGATCTAACCGATGCTCTGTACTCTCTGAAACGAACGGTAGGATCTTTTCTTTTTATACGATTAACGGTGCGAGGATCGTTCCTAGGGAATTTCTACGAATCGATCGAATTAGTTACGAACATAACCTCCGATCGGCGTAACCTATCGACACGCGTATACGTAGCCATGTATATTCTTCGATATCCGCGACGTTCCTTTCGAACGATCTGAGATCGTAAACATGGAAACTCGAAAGGATGTGACGAAGAAACGGTGAAATAAATTTCAGGCGACTCGAGACTGGTCATAGGCAGCGAAGAAGGAAGATGCATCGATGGCAATACGGTCGGATATCGATTCGCTGCACCTGTTTTTCTTCGACCAACAGGCATAGAACGAGGGGAGAGAAAGAGAGAGAGCCGACGACGCCGGGTCTCGAATCTATTTCCGTGGGGCCCTAACCCGAGTGCCGAGAGACGGAAACAGACGGACGGGGGAAGAGAGACAGCGCAAGAGGGGAAGAGGAGAATTTATGTGTTTGGAGAGGGTCAAGGGAACGAGGGTAGCGACAAGTGCAGCGGAGTCGTACAGCTGGATGCAACAGGGGGTAAAGAAACGCGTTTCCCTGTCACGCGTGCGTTATCCAAACTAATTTTTTCGCGTCACTGAAAATTCCTCTTTTTATTTAGATCCGAACGAGCTGCTGCGTACGATGCTCGGCTTTTCGCGTGACTACTAACACGCAGGTAGGAGAGAGAAAGAGAGAGAGAGAGAGAGAGAGAAGGGGAAAAAGGAAAAAGAAAAAACAGAGATTTTGTCTGGAGAAAGGAACGTGAGAATTCACCGATATTCCCAATTTTCACCCGCTCATCGGTCGATATATCGCGAGCGCAGCCATGCTAACGACTCTACGTGAAAATCCACTTTTTTGCCGGTTACGCAGGATGCACACGGCGAAAGTGATGCGTGTCGAAGAGACGAGACAGTGGAGTCTGACAGACCGAGCAAAAGTGCACGCGAGAGTATGCACGAGAAGTTCTTTTCTCCTCTGCGACTCAAGGAGTTCACTGGGTAGAATGGTTCACGGACGTGAACTCGGAATTCGTTTGCCGGCGAGCGAGCGGCTTATGCATCGGGTCTGCGATATTATGCGAGAGGATAGGAACGATAACGAGACCCTGCGAGTATTTTTGCTAGAAAGATCGATCGAGCGGCGTAACTGGATCGATGTTGCTCTCTTCTGCGCTGGCAAGCAAAGCGGAAACGAACTACCGGCCGCAAAATTGTTACCGACAGCAAGTGGAACGTAAATACACCGGGGACACGAACGGCATATTTTGGTCAATATG